TGTGAATCTCTCATACCTTGTTCACTGGCATGTGTGAATCTCTCATACCTTGTTCACTGACATGTGTGAATCTCTCATACCTTGTTCACTGGCATGTGTGAATCTCTCATACCTTGTTCACTGGCATGTGTGAATCTCTCATACCTTGTTCACTGGCATGTGTGAATCTCTCATACCTTGTTCACTGGCATGTGTGAATCTCTCATACCTTGACTGACATGTGTGAATCTCTCATACCTTGTTCACTGACATGTGTGAATCTCTCATAACTTGTTCACTGTGATCTCTCATACCTTGTTCACATGACATGCTGTGAATCTCTCATAACTTGTTCACTGACATGTGTGAATCTCTCATACCTTGTTCACTGACATGTGTGAATCTCTCATACCTTGTTCACTGACATGTGTGAATCTCTCATACCTTGTTCACTGGCATGTGTGAATCTCTCATACCTTGTTCACTGACATGTGTGAATCTCTCATAACTTGTTCACTGACATGTGTGAATCTCTCATACCTTGTTCACTGACACGTGTGAATCTCTCATACCTTGTTCACTGACATGTGTGAATCTCTCATACCTTGTTCACTGACATGTGTGAATCTCTCATACCTTGTTCACTGGCATGTGTGAATCTCTCACAGGACATATCCCATGTGGAGCTGGAGGAGGATGTGGTCAAGGGCACGCCACTCTACCAGATTCAGGCAACGGATGCTGATGAGACTGGCAACTCTAATGCCAGGCTGGAGTTCAGCTTGCTGGGCCACGGAGCTGACCATTTCCTCATTGACAGGGACACTGGTGAGTCTGCTGTCTGTTGTCTGTAGACTTCAATACACTTGTTTACCCTCATCATTGACAGGGACACTGGTGAGTCTGTTGTCTGTTGTCTGTTGTCTGCAGACTTCAACACACTTGTTTACCCTCATCATTGACAGGGACACTGGTGAGTCTGCTGTCTGTTGTCTGCAGACTTCAATACACTTGTTTACCCTCATCATTGACAGGGACACTATTGAGTCTGTTGTCTATTGTCTGCAGACATCAACATACTTGTTTACCCACATCATTGATAGGGACACTGGTGAGTTTCTTGTCTGCAGACATCAACACACTTTTTTACCCACATCATTGACAGGGACACTGGTGAGTTTCTTGTCTGCAGACATCAACACACTTGTTTACCCACAACATTGACAGGGACACTGGTGAGTCTGTTGTCTGCAGACATCAACACACTTGTTTACCCACATTATTGACAGGGACACTGGTGAGTCTGTTGTCTGTTGTCTGCAGACATCAACACACTTGTTTACCCACAACATTGACAGGGACACTGGGGAGTCTCTTGTCTGCAGACATCAACACACTTGTTTACCCACATCATTGACAGGGACACTGGTGAGTCTCTTGTCTGCAGACTTCAACACACTTGTTTACCCGCAACATCATTGCTGACCGACACACATGAAGCAGCTGGAGCTTGGGCAAAGGTCTCAGTCTTCATTCTCCTACTACAAGTTCTCCATGTGAGAGCAACAATTATAGACCCACTGTTCCCTAATGCTATAAAAAGTGACATCAGTGGAAATCAGATGTCTTGGGCTGACAGGCACAGATCTTTATCTGCCTTTTAACCCCCAATGGAGCATAGGCCCTCAACCATTTTATCCTTTGCTATCGCATGCAGAACTCCCCGTGTCCTCCCCATCTTTTTTTTTTTACTTCACTCTCTAGCTCTCATTTCCTACATGTGTTTTTTGGTCTCTTTATTTCTTTGCCCCTGTGGGTTTCAGTGCAAAGACATTCTAGTTATATTGTCCTCAGGCTTTCTCAGCGTGTGTCCTATCCGATGTCAGCATCTTCTCTTCACCTCCTGGTCCACTGGAACTTGTTTGGTTCTCTCCCAAAGCCCAGTGTTAGTGATTCTATCATGAAACTTAATTCTCTCTATTCTGTACAGGCAACAGTTAATGAATGTTTGCAGTTTATTAGTAACTGCCTTAGTTGTTCTCCATGTTTCATCTCAAAACAGCATAATTGATTTGACATTAGAAGTACACATTTCAAGTTTAGTATAAGTTGTAATTTATTTTGACCTCCACAAATTTCCTATTTATATGAAAGTTTCTCTTGCCTTTTGCATTCTTATTTTATTATCTCTATCAGTTCCCCCATCTTTTTCTACATTACTGCTCAAATAGGTGTATGACACCACATCCTGGAGTGGGATACCATTAAGAGAAACCACATTACTATTTACCAAATTATTCTTCTTATATTTTTCTTACCCTTATGGATTTCAGACCAAGCTGTTATGATCTCGCATCAAACATATTTAACTTATCTTTCATCCGATTCAGTGAGTGGGGCAGAAGAAAAAAATCATTAGTAAAATCAGTGTGCTGGACAGTGGTTCTGTCTCTCATGTGTTGGACAATGGTTCTGTCTCTCATGTGTTGGACAATGGTTCTGTCTCTCATGTGTTGGACAATGGTTCTGTCTCTCATGTGTTGGACAATGGTTCTGTCTCTCATGTGTTGGATACTGGTTCTGTCTCTCATGTGTTGGACAGTGGTTCTGTCTCTCATGTGTTGGATACTGGTTCTGTCTCTCATGTGTTGGACAATGGTTCTGTCTCTCATGTGTTGGACAATTGTTCTGTCTCTCATGTGTTGGACAATGATTCTGTCTCTCATGTGTTGGACAGTGGTTCTGTCTCTCATGTGTTGGACAATGGTTCTGTCTCACATGTGTTGGACAGTGGTTCTGTCTCTCATGTGTTGGACAATTGTTCTGTCTCTCATGTGTTGGACAATGGTTCTGTCTCTCATGTGTTGGACAATGGTTCTGTCTCTCATGTGTTGGACAGTGGTTCTGTCTCTCATGTGTTGGACACTGATTCTGTCTCTCATGTGTTGGACAGTGGTTCTGTCTCTCATGTGTTGGACAGTGGTTCTGTCTCTTATGTGTTGGACAATGGTTCTGTCTCTCATGTGTTGGACAATGGTTCTGTCTCTCATGTGTTGGACAATGGTTCTGTCTCTCATGTGTTGGACAGTGGTTGTTTCTCTGATGTGTTGGACAGTGGTTCTGTTTCTCATGTGTTAGACAGTGGTTGTTTCTCTCATGTGTTGGACAGTGGTTGTTTCTCTCATGTGTTGGACAGTGGTTCTGTCTCTCATGTGTTGGACAGTGGTTGTTTCTCTCATGTGTTGGACAGTGGTTCTGTCTCTCATGTGTTGGACAGTGGTTCTGTCTCCCATGTGTTGGACAATGGTTCTGTTTCTCATGTGTTGGACAGTGGTTCTGTCTCTCATGTGTTGGACAATGGTTCTGTCTCTCATGTGTTGGACAATGGTTCTGTCTCTCATGTGTTGGACAGTGGTTGTTTCTCTGATGTGTTGGACAGTGGTTCTGTTTCTCATGTGTTAGACAGTGGTTGTTTCTCTCATGTGTTGGACAGTGGTTGTTTCTCTCATGTGTTGGACAGTGGTTCTGTCTCTCATGTGTTGGACAGTGGTTGTTTCTCTCATGTGTTGGACAGTGGTTCTGTCTCTCATGTGTTGGACAGTGGTTCTGTCTCCCATGTGTTGGACAATGGTTCTGTTTCTCATGTGTTGGACAGTGGTTCTGTCTCTCATGTGTTGGACAATGGTTCTGTCTCTCATGTGTTGGACAATGGTTCTGTCTCTCATGTGTTGGACAATGGTTCTGTCTCTCATGTGTTGGACAATGGTTCTGTCTCTCATGTGTTGGATACTGGTTCTGTCTCTCATGTGTTGGACAGTGGTTCTGTCTCTCATGTGTTGGATACTGGTTCTGTCTCTCATGTGTTGGACAATGGTTCTGTCTCTCATGTGTTGGACAATTGTTCTGTCTCTCATGTGTTGGACAATGATTCTGTCTCTCATGTGTTGGACAGTGGTACTGTCTCTCATGTGTTGGACAATGGTTCTGTCTCACATGTGTTGGACAGTGGTTCTGTCTCTCATGTGTTGGACAATTGTTCTGTCTCTCATGTGTTGGACAATGGTTCTGTCTCTCATGTGTTGGACAATGGTTCTGTCTCTCATGTGTTGGACAGTGGTTCTGTCTCTCATGTGTTGGACACTGATTCTGTCTCTCATGTGTTGGACAGTGGTTCTGTCTCTCATGTGTTGGACAGTGGTTCTGTCTCTTATGTGTTGGACAATGGTTCTGTCTCTCATGTGTTGGACAATGGTTCTGTCTCTCATGTGTTGGACAATGGTTCTGTCTCTCATGTGTTGGACAGTGGTTGTTTCTCTGATGTGTTGGACAGTGGTTCTGTTTCTCATGTGTTAGACAGTGGTTGTTTCTCTCATGTGTTGGACAGTGGTTGTTTCTCTCATGTGTTGGACAGTGGTTCTGTCTCTCATGTGTTGGACAGTGGTTGTTTCTCTCATGTGTTGGACAGTGGTTCTGTCTCTCATGTGTTGGACAGTGGTTCTGTCTCCCATGTGTTGGACAATGGTTCTGTTTCTCATGTGTTGGACAGTGGTTCTGTCTCTCATGTGTTGGACAATGGTTCTGTCTCTCATGTGTTGGACAATGGTTCTGTCTCTCATGTGTTGGACAATGGTTCTGTCTCTCATGTGTTGGACAATGGTTCTGTCTCTCATGTGTTGGACAATGGTTCTGTCTCTCATGTGTTGGACAATGGTTCTGTCTCTCATGTGTTAAACAGTGGTTCTGTCTCTCATGTGTTGGATACTGGTTCTGTCTCTCATGTGTTGGACAATGGTTCTGTCTCTCATGTGTTGGACAATGGTTCTGTCTCTCATGTGTTGGACAATGGTTCTGTCTCTCATGTGTTGGACAGTGGTTGTTTCTCTCATGTGTTGGACAATGGTTCTGTCTCTCATGTGTTGGACAGTGGTTCTGTCTCTCATGTGTTGGACATTGGTTCTGTCTCTCATGTGTTGGACAGTGGTTCTGTCTCTTATGTGTTGGACAATGGTTCTGTCTCTCATGTGTTGGACAATGGTTCTGTCTCTCATGTGTTGGACAATGGTTCTGTCTCTCATGTGTTGGACAGTGGTTGTTTCTCTGATGTGTTGGACAATGGTTCTGTCTCTCATGTGTTGGACAGTGGTTCTGTCTCTCATGTGTTGGACAGTGGTTGTTTCTCTCATGTGTTGGACAGTGGTTGTTTCTCTCATGTGTTGGACAATGGTTCTGTCTCTCATGTGTTGGACAGTGGTTCTGTCTCTCATGTGTTGGACAGTTGTTCTGTCTCTCATGTGTTGGACAGTGGTTGTTTCTCTCATGTGTTGGACAATGGTTCTGTCTCTCATGTGTTGGACAGTGGTTGTTTCTCTCATGTGTTGGACAATGGTTCTGTCTCTCATGTGTTGGACAGTGGTTCTGTCTCTCATGTGTTGGACATTGGTTCTGTCTCTCATGTGTTGGACAGTGGTTCTGTCTCTTGTGTGTTGGACAGTGGTTCTGTCTCTCATGTGTTGGACAATGGTTCTGTCTCTCATGTGTTGGACAATGGTTCTGTCTCTCATGTGTTGGACAGTGGTTCTGTCTCTCATGTGTTGGACACAATGTTGCGTGTTGTTTCAAGGGTATCAATGTTGTTTAGGTCAATTTAGTGCAAGCTTGGTTGACTGAAGTGCTGACACTGCCTGAGTAAATATTGTGAGTCAATATTGTCAGACGGTGTAGACTTAGGACCGAAGGTGTCAGCGCTGCTTCAGTCAATATTTTATGTATGTACTCCATGATTCACTTCTATAAATGAAAAAAATGATCCCATGTAACTATAAAGGATTCCCTCTCTCTTCTCCCTCTCTTCTCTCTCTCTCTCCCCCTCTCTTTCTCTTCCCCCCCATCTCTCATCTCTCTCTCTCTTCTCTCTTTCTCTCTCCCCCATCCCCACTCTCTCTCTCTCTCTCTCTCTCTCTCTCTCTCTCTCTCTCTCTCTCTCTCTCTCTCTCTCTCTCACTTCAAATGGATAAGGAAAGACTGCACAAAATATTTTAGAAATACTGCTGTGCTTGACCTTTTCCGCACTAAACTTCTCAAATACCTGAACAACTAGACTCACAGACACAATGAACAACTAGACTCACAGACACAATGTACAACTAGACTCACAGACACAATGAACAACTAGACTCACAGAAACAATGTACAATTAGACTCACAGACACAATGTACAACTAGACTCACAAACACAATGAACAACTAGACTCACAGACACAATGAACAACTAGACTCACAGACACAATGTACAACTAGACTCACAGACACAATGTACAACTAGACTCACAGACACAATGTACAACTAGACTCACAGACACAATGTACAACGAGACTCACAGACACAATAAACAACTAGACTCACAGACACAATGTACAACTAGACTCACAGACACAATGTACAACTAGACTCACAGACACAATGTACAACTAGACTCCCAGACACAATGTACAACCAGACTCACAGACACAATGTACAACCAGACTCCCAGACACAATGTACAACTAGACTCACAGACACAGTGTACAACTAGACTCACAGACACAATGAACAACTAGACTCACAGACACAATGAACTACTGGACTCACAGACACAATGAACAACTAGACTCACAGACACAGTGTACCAACTAGACTCACAGACACAATGAACAACTAGACTCACAGACACAATGTACAACTAGACTCACAGACACAGTGTACCAACTAGACTCACAGACACAGTGTACCAACTAGACTCACAGACACAATGAACAACTAGACTCACAGACACAGTGTACCAACTAGACTCACAGACACAATGAACAACTAGACTCACAGACACAATGAACTACTGGACTCACAGACACAATGTACAACTAGACTCACAGACACAATAAACAGCTAGACTCACAGACACAATAAACATTTGTTGGACAGTGGTTCTGTCTCTCATGTGTTGGACAGTGGTTCTGTCTCTCATGTGATCTGCTTTGTTGGTTATTGGTTCTGTCTCTCATGTGATCTGCTTTGTTGGTTATTGGTTCTGTCTCTTATATGAGATGATTGTTGTGAGTGAGAGGTCACACAGGGGAGGCTAGTAGCTTGTATGTGTGCCAGCAATCCACACATAAACTAAGTGACTGTATTTTGTTTCCTCCAGGACTGATCCACACCTCCAAGTTACTGGACAGAGAGACTCAGGCAGAGTTCAGACTGACTGCAGTAGCCCAAGATGGTGGAGGTCTCAGTTGCTCAACACTGGTGGTGGTTCACTTGAAGGATGTCAATGACAACCCTCCGGTGTTTGGACCTGGGAGTCTGCGGGAGTCTTATAGCATCCAGGAGGATGCCAGCATACACACACTGCTGACCAGGGTAGCAGCCCAGGATGCGGATATAGGTCAGATAACTGTTGCATGTACTTGTGTGTCTGTGAGTCTTGTTGTTTATTGTGTCTGTGAGTCTAGTTGTTTATTGTGTCTGTGAGTCTAGTTGTTTATTGTGTCTGTGAGTCTAGTTGTACATTGTGTCTGTGAGTCTAGTTGTACACCTGTGAGTCTAGTTGTTTATTGTGTCTGTGAGTCTAGTTGTACACCTGTGAGTCTAACTGTTTATTGTGTCTGTGAGTCTAGTTGTACATTGTGTCTGTGAGTCTAGTTGGTACACTGTGTCTGTGAGTCTAGTTGTTTATTGTGTCTGTGAGTCTAGTTGTTTTTTGTGTCTGTGAGTCTAGTTGTACACCTGTGAGTCTAACTGTTTATTGTGTCTGTGAGTCTAGTTGTACATTGTGTCTGTGAGTCTAGTTGGTACACTGTGTCTGTGAGTCTAGTTGTTTATTGTGTCTGTGAGTCTAGTTGTACATTGTGTCTGTGAGTCTAGTTGTACACCTGTGAGTCTAGTTGTTCATTGTGTCTGTGAGTCTAGTTGTACACCTGTGATTCTAGTTGTACACCTGTGAGGCTAGTTGTACATTGTGTCTGTGAGTCTAGTTGGTACACTGTGTCTGTGAGTCAAGTTGTTTATTGTGTCTGTGAGTCTCGTTGTACATTGTGTCTGTGAGTCTAGTTGTACACCTGTGAGTCTCGTTGTACATTGTGTCTGTGAGTCTAGTTGTTTATTGTGTCTGTGAGTCTATTTCAACATTGTGTCTGTGAGTCTAGTTGTTCATTGTGTCTGTGAGTCTAGTTGTACACCTGTGAGTCTAGTTGTACACCTGTGAGTCTAGTTGTACACCTGTGAGTCTAGTTGTACATTGTGTCTGTGAGTCTAGTTGTTTATTGTGTCTGTGAGTCTAGTTGTACATTGTGTCTGTGAGTCTAGTTGTACATTGTGTCTGTTAGTCTAGTTGTACACCTGTGAGTCTAGCTGTTTTTTGTGTCTGTGAGTCTAGTTGTACATTGTGTCTGTGAGTCTAGTTGGTACATTGTGTCTGTGAGTCTAGTTGTTTATTGTGTCTGTGAGTCTAGTTGTACATTGTGTCTGTGAGTCTAGTTGTACACCTGTGAGTCCAGTTGTTTATAGTGTCTGTGAGTCTAGTTGTTTTTTGTGTCTATGAGTGTAGTTGGTACACTGTGTCTGTGAGTCTAGTTGTTCATTGTGTCTGTGAGTCTAGCTGTTTATTGTGTCTGTGAGTCTAGTTGTACATTGTGTCTGTGAGTCCAGTAGTTCATTGTGTCTGTGAGTCTAGTTGTTCATTGTGTCTGTGAGTCTAGTTGGTACACTGTGTCTGTGAGTCTAGTTGTTCATTGTGTCTGTGAGTCCAGTAGTTCATTGTGTCTGTGAGTCTAGTTGTTCATTGTGTCTGTGAGTCTAGTTGTACACTGTGTCTGTGAGTCTAGTTGTACATTGTGTCTGGGAGTCTGGTTGTACATTGTGTCTGTGAGTCTGGTTGTACATTGTGTCTGTGAGTCTAGTTGTACATTGTGTCTGTGAGTCTAGTTGTACATTGTGTCTGTGAGTCTAGTTGTACATTGTGTCTGTGAGTCTAGTTGTTTATTGTGTCTGTGAGTCTCGTTGTACATTGTGTCTGTGAGTCTAGTTGTACATTGTGTCTGTGAGTCTAGTTGTACATTGTGTCTGTGAGTCTAGTTGTACATTGTGTCTGTGAGTCTAGTTGTACATTGTGTCTGTGAGTCTAGTTGTTCATTGTGTCTGTGAGTCTAGTTGTTCATTGTGTCTGTGAGTCTAGTTGTACATTGTGTCTGTGAGTCTAATTGTACATTGTTTCTGTGAGTCTAGTTGTTCATTGTGTCTGTGAGTCTAGTTGTACATTGTGTCTGTGAGTCTAGTTGTTCATTGTGTCTGTGAGTCTAGTTGTTCAGGTATTTGAGAAGTTTAGTGCGGAAAAGGTCAAGCACAGCAGTATTTCTAAAATATTTTGTGCAGTCTTTCCTTATCCATTTGAAGTGAGAGAGAGAGAGAGAGAGAGAGAGAGAGAGAGAGAGAGAGAGTGAGTGAGTGGGGGGGGAGAGAAAGAGAGAGAAGAGAGAGATGGGGGGGGGGAAGAGAAAGAGAGGGGGAGAGAGAGAGAGAAGAGAGGGAGAAGAGAGAGGGAATCCTTTATAGTTACATGGGATCATTTTTTTCATTTATAGAAGTGAATCATGGAGTACATACATAAAATATTGACTGAAGCAGCGCTGACACCTT